TGTCATGAATTCTCGTGGAAAAAATTCAGGAACCATTGTTTCTTATGTTTTCGAGTGTCCTCTTTCCAATGATGCTGGTTAAAATTGTCGCTGAAAAACTTTTACGGTCCAAAAATCAAAAATAAATAAAAAAAACATGATTATCTGATTTAATTTTTTTTTTAAATCGACTTTTCGTTCCCTAAGCATTTTTTTTAATGCCTAAAACCCTTATAGATCGCGGCCTCGAGATTTTAACTACAAGTTACTATGGTTCTCCGGATATGAAAATTTTTCGTATAAACAAAATGGCGGCCGAAGTGAAAATATTTATCTAAAACTTTACAAATTTTTTTCTCGAATACTATAGATTTTCATGAAAATTTTTAAAGAACAAAAATGTCTTAGAATTAGTTATAAAATACTCTCAAATTTTTTCAGAATCATCCGAGAAAATTTTGGGATTTCGGAAAAGTCTCTGAATTGAAAATTTTAAAATTATGTCGGAAAATTTTGAAATAATTTGAGAGCGTTCTTTGTTTGTTTTTAAGACATTTCTATTCTCAGAAAAACTTTCGTAAAGTGCATGGTTTTTGGTAAACAAAATATTTATTTAGCAAACTTTAACATTTTTTTTCTCGAAAAGTATACTCTTTAGGAACATTTTTCTGAGAATAGAAATGTCTTAAAAACAAACAAAGAACGCTCTCAAATTATTTCAAAATTTTCCGACATAATTTTTAAATTTTCAATTCAGAGACTTTTCCGAAATCCCAAAATTTTCTCGGATGATTCTGAAAAAATTTGAGAGTATTTTATAACTAATTCTAAGACATTTTTGTTCTTTAAAAATTTTCATGAAAATCTATAGTATTCGAGAAAAAAATTTGTAAAGTTTTGGATAAATATTTTCACTTCGGCCGCCATTTTGTTTATACGAAAAATTTTCATATCCGGAGAACCATAGTAACTTGTAGTTAAAACCTCGAGGCCGCGATCTATAAGGGTTTTAGGCATTAAAAAAAATGCTTAGGGAACGAAAAGTCGATTTAAAAAAAAAATTAAATCAGATAATCGTGTTTTTTTTATTTATTTTTGATTTTTGGACCGTAAAAGTTTTTCAGCGACAATTTTAACCAGCATCATTGGAAAGAGGACACTCGAAAACATAAGAAACAATGGTTCCTGAATTTTTTCCACGAGAATTCATGACATGAGAATAGTTCAAACTCAGGTCTCGAAAAACCGTCCTGTGAGCGTTAATGGGTTAATGACGATACCATAATTAAACATAACGCAACTATTTCTGTCTCGTTGTAAATGAAGCATTGACTAGCAGTATCAGAGAATGAAGTGAAAACAAGGACAACCCCTTCGGTAAACTTCAATCTTTGTTACAACTAGTTATTGAAACGTATGAAGTATTGGATAAACGATCAATCCTTCAGTACATTGAACTTTAAATACTTTAGCATGTATTTTATTTATATTTATCACAAGGCCATTCTCCTAAATTATTGGTTTCCTTTACAATTTTAATGCCTAGTGAACTGCTCTTAATTCCTGACGCAACAAATAAATCTTTCTTCATTTCACATCTTTTTCCAGTGATATATATATTCTTATTAGTTTTGAAAACACTAACAACATTAATGATGATACCATCATTTAACATAACCCAACTATTTCTGCTATCTGTGATATCAATTCGAAACGTGTCTGATTTTAAAATTTTATAATAATATGCATTTGGGTGGTCATTGACAATTACAGCATTGGATGTCAGTTTTTCAACATCAAACTTACTATTCTTAGAAGCATATTGACTTTTTAAATTACTTGTTGACTCATATTCAGACAACCTTCTAGAAATTTATTGCAACGGTTCTCACCTTTTCTTATATATTTCTTTATAGAACAAATATAATTCTCGAATGGAAATGCGCTAAAGCTTTCAACTGTACCAAATTTTTCGACGTCTTTGCATAAATGTCCTATATTGTGGACATTGTAAGTAACATTGTTTTTCCCATACAATGTTTGAAATCCAAAAATAAATTTCATTGCTAAGGTTTGACATAATTTTATATTATTTTTATCACGAACCAATATTTGATTGCTGAGTATTATCATAATTATATGAAGTGTTAAAAAATTTTCATATACTGATGGATGAAGTACATCTTTGAGTATAAACGGACCAAAATACAGCAAAAAATGTCTAAATTCAGTTGCCTTCCACTTTTTCCAGTAGTCCAAAGATCTTGAACGTCTATTAAATTCAAATGGTAACATGTTCTTTAAATATTCCAGTCTCTTTGAAATTTTGTTAATCTTATTAATATTGAGTCTACATATTTTTCTTATTCTTTCTTTGTCACCAATCCAGTGTCTCTGCTTCATTATACCTAAATACACTAAGTGCATGACATCTAAAACTACATTTGAAACAAGACCAAAGTAACGTAACCGTCGAAAAATCGTTTCCCCACGTTGATAATTGTCAATATAATGCATGCTATTGAATTCATCATCATTTCTCAAGAAATCGTTGCAATATCTGTTTAATTCTTCTATGTTATCTGTGGGAAAGCAAACTGATGAAATATATACACCTTCAATAGTACATTTACTACAACTATAGTAACCCGAGTGACCTTTAGTACATAAAACGAAAGATTTAGCTGGAGCGTCCAAAATAAGTCTATCTAATCTTATTTTGTATAGCTTATTATTATATGAAAATCCATTGCTTATTAAATTTTCTAATTCATCTACAGTATTTTTTAAAAATATATTGTGATCTTTCGGCTTTTTAGTACCACAATAGATGCCAACTCCATATACAGTATCTAGTTCAATATCTTTCATCGATATGATCCACAGACCTCTCTCAGATGAACTGCCAACAAGTGGAGCCCCATCTATATTCATTGACACTTTTACAGTATCGAAAACATCCTTACGCAAAAGACGAGCTTCGATAATTTTTTTAATTCCATTTTCAACACCTAGATAACAATACTCGCCACTATCCATATCGATAATATTAGTGGATTTTAGAGTTTTTAACAGTGTACGCGGATCTTTAGGGAACGGAGTACTAGTATTCTTATTTAATATCGCTAATAATAATTTCAAATGATCATGTTCAATTAGACAATCCTTGGCCCACTTAATTATTTCCTTCCGAAAATTTTCATCGTCATTAGTTGTAGGATTTGGCATTGTTACATCAAAACCATCATCCGAATATACGTCTGAAATGGATTCCGCATCACTATCGCTAAACCGATATGCATCAGAAGAAGAGTATGAGTTAGTATCACTGTCGGTTGCATCACCATCGTCATAGTTATCGTCATTCTCATCACTTGAAAGAACATATTCAGGCTGAACTTCAAGTGCGCTTGTTGAGAAGTTGTTGTGCGCGAAAAATTTACTAAACAAATTTTCGTGAGATTCATCGCTATCATTTTCTCTGGTTTCAGGACATTCACTTGTTAAAATATCTGGTTCAAATGTTTGATCATTACATGGGGTACTACAACCCGCCTTAGCATTTGGAATAGAAGATGTAGAACGAAGGTATTCAATATTTTGAAGGTCGTACTCAGTTGTTTTTTTAGATAACCTTCTAATATGACGGTTGCTTTCTGAAGGGACTCCTTTTCTCTTCCTTGGCATTTGGTTCAATTCAACTAAATAAAAAAAAAATCAATAACGCTTTTATGCTTCAACGTTGGATATAAACATTCAAGAAACGTAAGTTACTTTAAGGGGACCAGAGGGTGTCTCGTAGTGAAAAATTGACACTTTGTTTATTGCCGCGTAGAAATCGTTCTACTAAAGATATCGATGTAAGACTTTTTTCAGCTGAAAGAATTCTATATAAGCTTTGATTTTTTTGCTACAAGTTCCAGAATAATCATTGTACACCTAATATGGACACAACAAAGACCAAGCTCTATTTTTCAAAAAATGGGGCTTTGCCACGCCTTTCTGAACGCCATAGTGGACAAAAATCGTTTTGTGAGAGCTCATTTTTTTTGTTATGAACCGGACTACAGAATGAGCGGAGCACTTTTCTAAAAAAGATAATTCTTCCTATTTTTTGAGGATAATTTGCAAAAAAAATTTTTTTGAAAAATTAAAATTTCATATATTGGCTCAAAAAAATAGGAAGAATTATCTTTTTTATAAAAGTGCTCTGCTCATTCTCTAGTCCGGTTCATAACAAAAAAAATGAGCTCTCACAAAACGATTTTTGTCCACTCTGGCGTTCAGAAAGGCGTGGCAAAGCCCCATTTTTTGAAAAATAGAGCTTGGTCTTTGTTGTGTCCATATTAGGTGTACAATGATTATTCTGGAACTTATAACAAAGAAAATGAAAGCTTATATAGAATACTTTCAGCTGAAAAAAGTCCTACATCGATATCTTCAGTAGAATGATTTCTACACGACAATAAACAAATGTTAGTGATTTACACGTATAGAACAAGTGTGCGTGCGTGTGTGTACGACCGGCGGGCGAGAGAGAACGATACAGTTCCAGGGACGATTCCGAATTGCGCTGATAGAGCGTGCGAGCGAATCAAGCCAAGAGAGGGTAGTCGGGATGCGAAGGCATTTGGCCGAGAAGCGCGAGTTATCCCCCCTCCCTCGAGACTCAAGCGAGTTGGGCCGTTGGCGTGGGTCAGAGAGGTCTGAGACGCGACAAAGGTCGGATGCGTGTAGGACTCGACGGCTGAGTGCCGAATAGTTGTAAGCCCTTGTATTCATATCTTTTAAGTATTCATTAAAACTACTTAATTCAATTGATACATTTGATATATTGTGCAAAGGAAGCTAAAATCTATCGTAATGCAATGACTGTAGCACATTTTTTTATTTCGTCGAAGATTTCTTTTCATTCCCATAAAAATATGTAAAAACATCAGTTTTTCGGATATTTCAAAGATAAATCAATGTTGTAATTGTTTCTTCAACGTACAACTAAGAATTATCCTTACAAGGCAAATATGATGAAAAATATATTGGATAAGGAGGATACTATAAATCAAGTAATTCTAACCAATGTTTTCCAAGACTTCTCTCAGCCTGACATAACAGACTACACAATTCTACACATTGCAGCAATCAAGAGAGATGTTGAGGCATTCAAAATCTTAATAGACAATAGAGCTGATTTCACGATGCAAAATGCGCATGAATGTACAGTGCTTCACTACCTTTTTGAGTGCACAGCTGATAATAGCAGAATTGAACTGATAAATTATGCATTATCAGCCCATTTAAAATTAGCAAATTCAAGTAATCCTTGTAACAACAATGGTATTACCCACTTTCACATTGCGTGCATGGTCAACAATACCCAAGCAGTGCAGTTCTTTCTGGAAAATGCAGCATCTGTGCGTCTAATTGTGAAAATGGACTCGCCTAGATTTCCAGGTACAGCTCTTTACACTTCGCTTCTGAAGTTCTAGCATTGAGACAATAAAACTGCTTTTAAAGAATGATATAGATATAAATGTAAAAAATGCTCAAGGCAGAACAGCTTTGCATATTTTTGTACAACAAAAAATTAATTTATGTGATTCTTTGAGATACAGCGAAATAGATGCCACCACAGTGGTTTTGGACAAAATTGATTTGATGGATAACGCAACCAATCTGTTGCTACCAAACAATGGTATAGATAACGTGGGTTTTTCTCAGTTCCATAGTGCATGCACAATGCGAGAATCTACAGTAGCTGAAGATCTTATAGAGCAAGTGACAGACATCAATCGTTGTGTTCTGTTTGACTCTCCAGTGTGGCCTGGTTCTACAGGTCTTCATTTTGCTGCTCATTGTAACATGAAAATCTTTCAAATGCTTGTGCAAAAGATAAAAGCTCGAACTTTCAGATGTTACGTTGAAAAATATGGGTAGCCGTGGAAAACTTTGAGATAATTTCAGAAAACCACTGAAAATGACCACTTTCTAGGTTATGTACGTTAAACAAACTCGCAGTTATTACTCTATACGTCATAATACAATATTTTATATGTTTGGAAATTGCATTATTCGATAATACGTTGCTTCGAAAACCGTTGTAACATTATTGTAGCAGTTGATAAAAAAATTTATTGTTCGGTTGTGCCTTTGATTTTGGTGGTAGTCGCTGGAGCCCCCTTAATTGAAACCGTATACAAGAAAAACAAATAGTCAACTGTCAGCTTAGGCCTGAACAATTTTGGGTTACTGATAATCATTTTTTTCACATAAACATTGAACTACGATTGTTCAATTGTTTGTATTGTTGAGATTTTCTTTGCATTAATTACGACCGCGTGAATTGCAATAGATTAACAGTGATTTTATTAAAATATTCTTCTGAATTAAGTGTAGAGATCAAAAATATTGATATTGGTGTACTTAACAAGTCTATGTACTTTATTTTGTCTGAACTTCAAAATTGAGAGAGTTGATTTTTGACGTTAAAAGCCACATAGAAAAATCATACAAAACTTTGAATTACAACGTCTTGCATAAAAAAGAGAGAGAGAGAAATAGAGATAGAGAGAGGAGGGAAATCCCAACCTCATATCTTTTATGCAAGACGTTGGAATTCAAAGTTTTATATGATTTCTCTATGCGGCCTTTAACGTCAAAAATCAACTCTCTCAATTTTGAAGTTAAGACGAAATAAAGTATATAGACTTGTTAAGTGCACCAATATTAATATTTTTGATCTCTACACTTTTTCATCACTGAATGGGGACTGAACCCTATTGACACACACACACACACACACATACACACACACGCACGCACACACACACACGCACGCACGCACACCCACGCATGCACGCACGCACACACCCAATAGTTAAAAGATTTATTGCGTCATATTTTAAATAATAATAAATATATAAGGTGTACCAGGCTGCCGTTTAGTCTATAATTTCTTAAACGTACCTTTATAATTACTAAACGACGCCTTGTTATCTCTGTGCTCAAGCACAGCAACCTACCTTGTCTCGGAGTGCGCCTGCGCAGAGTCTCTTCACTTTTCCGAGTTGGGTTCCCCCAACTCACCGCTTGGCGGCGCTGTCGCCCCTTACTAGTAGCGCTCGTGCGGCCGCCGCTGGAACCTAAGTTGACGATTCCCGCCTACCGATATTCACGTGATTCGTGCTACGTTACCGGCGAATTCGAATCAACTGTAAACAAATACTGACGCGACCCCCGGACAAAGGAAAGACTAAATAACGATTGCTAGATCAAATAAAGGCTAATGTTCACTTTATTAATGTAACTTAATTACACGGGGGTTTTGTCTAGAGACTTGCGCACGCTTGCGCGGATGACAACACACGCTAAATGAGAGAGAGAGAGAAAACCGCGATTACCGCGAACTAACCGCTCGCGCGCAACAATTATTTTCCTCGCGCACGCTGCGCGGGATCGCACGCTAATTACAACAATAAAAAGGGGGAAGGTGCACCAACCGCGAGAACGATGAGGATACGGTGGCCAACCGTATCCGAATGACAAATCGCTGAAACGCCGCTTCGCTGCTCGCCGCACCACCGCGATTACTGTTGCTGCTGTTGTTGTTGCTGCTGTCGCTGCTACTGCTGTTGTTGCTGTTGCTGCTGCTGCCTTTACTGCTGCTACTCTTGCTGCTGCTGCTGCACTCAGCACACCGCACCAAAGTTCGCAATGTCACCAGGAAAACGTAACCGGCTCGGGAGAAAACAAGGTTAGACGCACGATACAGGCGGACTGAGTGACACAGTCATACTGCCGGTCGGACCCTCCCCTCCCGGTCATTGCCCCTACGCGCTCTCTCTCTCTCGCGAACCGAACGCGGCTCCTCTCGTTTAGCCGCTCATTAACCTCGCGCGAGTCTAACGATTTTCGGTAATCGTTGCAGCCCCCTCCTAGCTTCGAACTACCTCACTGACTCGCGATCCTAAGGACAGGATTGGGAAAGGAGAGAAACTAACACAATCCATCCTCATTTACATTACGCTTTATTTGCCCATCCCGGGCCACCACTCCCCCACGTCTTCTGCCGGAGCCCCCTGGCGCCTTGTGCCTGGGATAGCGCCAGTGCTCCGCCTTGTTGGGGCACTTGGACGTGGTGGTTATCCCGGGATGGCCGCATATATAGCAGCCTTTCTTCGGCCGCCCACTGGGGCCGGGCTCCGATCCATGGCCCTGGCTCCCTGCTGGTGGATGGGGCGGCTGGGCTGGAGCTGCCGGGGCGGCGATAAACGTAACGCCGCCCACCGTGGCGGATGTGCGCCCCCCCTGGGTGCGCACCACCACGGTAGAGTCGGAGACCGACCCGTCCACGCGGACCGTGAACTCCTGTCCGGCGCCGGTGGCCCCCGAGACTCTCTTGGCTTGAGTCTGCGTCGGGGGCCTGGCCGGAGTCCTGGCTGCGGCCCTATCCGTTGGTGCCGTCGGTGGTAAAACCGCCGGCGGGCCCGCGGCCGCTGGAGACTCCGGTCCCCGGTCTACGCGCAGCAGGGCCTCTCCGTATGCCCTCTGCCGCCGGACCACAGGAGCCCACTCCCCTAGCATCTCTTGGGCGCCGCGGAAGTCGAGGAACTCCCCCAGGTGCGCGTGCACCCGGCGCTGAAGCTCCCCGACGAATTCCCAGGCGTTTTCTAATTCCTAGAGGCCCAACCTCACGTGCCTCCAGGAATTTTCAAGCCCAACCTGCTGGGGGACCCGGGGGTGGTTGCAGACCCACTGCCCCTGGCCGCAGGCCTCTTTTGGCCTGGGGCACTGTGTCGAGCCGTCGGCCGTCGCCGGCTTGCTCGACTCTGGGGTCTGCACCCCCTGGTCCGTCGTGGACTTAGACCGACGGCCCTCTTCGGATGGACCGTCGGTCTGGGTGGACGCTTCCCGGGTCTCGGGCCTTCTGGTCGGGGTCCTCATGGCTTCCCGGAGGAAGTCGTCCACCCGCTGGCGCGAGCGGCCCTCTCTGGCGGCCACCTCGACCCGGGTCCGGACGAATCTTCGGATGTCCCCGATCAGCCGATCGGCGTCCGGACCTAGTCTCAGGTCGAGCAGCATCTGGGTGGCCGTCTCGAAGGCCTCTTCGCTTACAACCAGCTTCCTCTCCATCTGTAAAAGAGAAGAGGGAAGTTAAGGGATATCTCAGGTTCAGCCCTTAACCTAACCGTCGCTGTGTCACGCTCGACGCTATTGCTTACGAGGACGTCCCGGTCCCCTGCGCTTTCCTCGCGAACATGGCCTATTTGCGGGGGTAGCTGGCAGGACCACCTTCCGCACGTGCTGAGCGGTTCTACGGGGCCTGCCTCTTCCCCTTACCGCATTGCCATCCAGGTCGTCTCCACCTGGTGCCTGAGATTCGCACGCAGGGTTCTTGCGCGGCCTACCACGGCCTCGCTTAGCCGGCGCCTCGATCGGTACCTTTGGAGCCGCCGCGGATTTCTCACACTCGTTCGCGGGGGCTGCAATCGCGACGCGCTCGCATATCGGATCCTCGCTGGATTCCTCAATCTTCGCTGGCGGGTCGCCTACGCCCTCCTCTTCCTCCAACGGTGTTGAGTCCCCTCCTCCTGGCTCCTCGTTGTCCTGATCCGAGAATGGACCGAAATAGGGCTTGAGATCCTTGGCGTGGATCAGCTCGGGCAACTCTTCCTGCTGGTTACCAAGGCGGTAGGTATTAGTCCCACATACCTCCTGAATTACGTATGGGCCAGCATACTTCGGCGCCAACTTCGCCGAAACGCCCTGAGCTGCGGAAGACAAGATGCGGTTCCGCTTCCACACCCAGTCCCCAACCCTAAAGTCGGCCTGACGTCTCCTCCGATTGTAGTAGACCGCCTGACGGTCCGCCTCCTCCCTGGACTTAGAGCCAGCGCGTTCCCATAAATTGGGTAACTGGCGCATGTGCTCACCCCATTCGGTCAGTTCTTGGCCCCCGGAAGCTTCCCGAGCCAACTGATCCTGGGCTCTCCTAAAGGTCGAGGGGGGAGTGGGCTGTCTACCGAAGACCAGCATAGCCGGGCTATAACCTGTCGCGCTGTGAGTTGCCGAGTTCAACGCAAAGTTGAACTCTGGCAGGTGCTCATCCCAGCTCTTATGGTCCCGCTCCACGTACGATATGAGCATGGCCTTGAGGGTTTTGTTCACTCGCTCTGTGGGGTTTGCCTGTGGGTGGTAAACTGGGGTAAGGGCGCGCCGGGTGCCGTTCCTCGACAGGTAGGCATCGACCTCTTGATTTTTAAATTCGGTCCCGTTGTCCGAAAGAAATATCTCGGGCGCGCCAAACCTGGTTACCACCCTCTCGTGCAATTCCCGTACGATGGTCCTTCCATTGGCCTTACGTACGGGTACACACTCCACCCACCGAGTGAACAGGTCTAAAAAGACCAAAATATACTCGAACCCTCTCGAGCTCTTTGGGAAAGGGCCAGTAATATCACTGGCCACCACCTGCCAGGGTCGCGAGACCTCTCGACGACCCATCAGCCCGCAAGGCGGCCTTTGTTCCGCCTTGCATTGCTGACATACCGGGCAACTCCTCACGTACTCTCTGACCTGATCGTACATCTTTGGCCAGAAATACAGGTGCCTAGCCCGGGAGAACGTTCGTTCTCTCCCCTGGTGTCCCGCTGCTGGCGCATCGTGTACCTCCTCGAGTACCTGATGCCTCTTCTCGGCAGGAACTACTAGCTTCCAGGCTTCCTCGTTGTCGATGGACCCTTCGCTCTCCTCAGTCGGATTGTAGTGATACAATCTCCCTCCAACCACCTTCCAGGTAGGTTGAGAATGTGGATCCTGGCATACTTCTCTATACTTTTGAAGGTACCAGGCATCGGCAGTTTCCGGCTGATGAGTCATGGCACCCACTTCTACCACCCCCTCCTCATAGGCCCTAGATAAAGCGTCTGGCACCACGT